CACTTGGTAGCCCAGGCTGGCCTCGAACTCACAAAGATCCGCCTGCCTCTGCCTCCCGAGTGCTGGGATTAAAGGCGTGCGCCACCACCGCCCGGCTCCTTGCCAGATTCTCAAACATATCTTTAGTAAGTGTCAGGAATGTTTATGAAGTTGTTCTGAGGTTCTGAAGCATGATGGAAATTTAGCGGTGTGGTAGTTTCAGTAAATACAATTATCGTTGCAATCTCTACAGCAGACTCCTTTCGGGACTTGTCCTACTACTTGTGATATTTTGGAGACACATCCAGTGTGAACAGGAAGGCAGCCATAGAAGGATGGGAGACTTTCTCTCAGCTCTTCTGAAGCTCTGAGAGCTGGGAACATGGAGGGGAAGGAGGAGGAGCTTAAAAGAGGTCACTGGAATCAGGCAGCTATGGCTGAGGTAAGTTGAAGTCCTTTTGTCTGAAGTGAATTGCTCCCAAAGGAAACCACCATTCCTTTGTTCCGTGACTCCCAAGCAATCTTTTGAGGGGAGAGAGGGCTTAAGACAGGATCTGACTATGTAGCTCAAGATGGCCTTGAATTCAGACTTCCTGCTTCATTCTCCTAGTTGTTGTTCAAATCTTAGATGGTCTTTTAATAAAAAACCCAGAGCCAGATATCAGGGTGAAAGCTGAAAGATCAGAGAAGCAGAACAGCCAGCCACTAGTTCTTACCTCTACAAAATCCTCAGCTGAAAGAGAGTGCGTTCCTGTTTCCTCCTGCCTTATATTCCTTATATTCTCTGCCCAGACATCACTTCCTGGGATTAAAGGCGTGTGTGCTTCCCGAGCAAAGGCATGAGACCTCAAGTGCTGGGATTAAGGGTGTGTGCCACCACTGCCTGGCTCTGTGTCTAATCTAGTGGCTGGCTCTGTCCTCTGATCTTCAGGCAAGTTTATTAGGGTAGACAATATGTTACCACACCTAGTTTACAGGAAGTGCCTGGGGCAGAGGGACAACCAGGTGGCACCAAAAGAAACAAGTGTCACATCCAGAATGTGGAGCCTTTAGTCAGGGTGATGTTTGAATACACGCTCTCAGGTTAGTGGAACTATTTGAAAAGGATTAGGAGGTGTGTCTCTGTTGAAGAAGGTGTAGGCTCTGAGATTTCAAAAACTTGCCACCATCCCCAATGTGCTTCCAGCCTCCTGCTGGAGGTTTGAGATGTGAGCTCCAGTGGTTGCTGCCCATAGGCATTCACTCCGCCATCGTGGACTGGAACCCTTTGGAACTGCTAACCCAATTAAATGTTTTCTTTTGTAAGTTATCTTGGTAGTGATGTTTTATCACAGCAATAGAAAAGTAACTTCAAAAGCATGGAAGAATGGAATACAGTCAGATTAGATGCCTTGTTAGAGCGATATGTGCCTCATGCAGGGCATAGGCCTTCTGTGATTTCAGCTATAAAAACACCATCTAGTGCCTCTATCTGTGGTTCTCAACCTTCCTAATGCTGTGACCCATTAATACAGTTCATGTTGTAGTGATCCCCCAACCATAACATTTATTTTTGTTGTTATTTTCCGATGGTCTTAAGCAACCCCTGTGAAAGGATCATTTGACCCCCAAAGAGCTCACGACCCACATGTTTAAAAAACACTGCTCTATATAAATTTTAGAGATTTATTTTCATTTTCTCGTGAGTGTTTTGCCTGCATGTATGTATGTGTACCATATGTGTCTGGTGCCTTCACAGATCAGAAGTACTCCGACCGTGACAGTCGTGAGCTACTGTGTGAATGCTGGGACCCAAGCATGGCTGCTCTGAAGGGTGGTAAATGTTCTCAATTACTGAGCTATCGCTTCAGCCCCAGATCTGTAGTTATTATTTTGGGTTTTTGTTTGAGACAGGGTCTCACTGTGTAGCCCTGGCTAACCTGGAACTTACTAGACCAGGCTGGCCTCGAGGTCATAGAGATCCACCTGCCTCTACCTGAAGTGCTGGAATTAAAGGTGTGTGCCACTGTGCCCAGCTTGTATCTAAAATTTAAGTGTGGTCCATCTATTCAAAGATGCTTTTTAAATTTTTATTATAAATGATTACACAGCTGGGCAAGGGATATAGACATCTGAGGGTAAGAGCAGCTACAGTCACAGGAACTCAGACATAGCTCAGGGTGTTGACACATCCAGCAGGAAATTTCAGCTCCACGCTCTGGGGTGCCTCATCTTCTCACATCTGTCCACTGGTACTCTGCTATCTGAGGAGAAGGAGTTATGGTAACATGTACATATTCACAGGTGAGACTCTGACTGCTGGGTCCATAATGTTCATATCTCTACCTGTTTCTGTATTTGGAAATTTTCATAAGGAACACAAAGCCAGGTATGGTTGTTCCAGCTAGGAGGTTAAGACAGGAACAGTGCTGTGAGTCTAGCCTGAGATACAGAGTGAGAGAGACCCTGTCCCTAAACAACAACAACAAAATGTTTAATAATCTTTATTTTTTGGCTGAGCAGTGGTGGCACATAACTTTAATCCTAGCACTCAGGAGGCAGAGGCAGGTGGATCTCTGTGTTCGAGGCCAGCCTAGTCTATAGAGCTACTTCTAGGACAGCCAGGGCTACACAAAGAAACCCTGTCATGAAAATTCAAAACAAAACAAAACTTTATTTTTATTTTATTTTTTTACTTTTTTTGAGACAGGGTCTTTCTACATAGCCCTGGCTGTCCTGGAACTTGCTCAAGACCAGGCTGGTCTTGAACTCATAGAACTCTGCTTGCCTCTGCTTCCTGAGTCCTGGGATTGAAGACAGTGCCACCATTCCTGGCTCCTTAAAATCTTAAATTAAGTAGATGAATTTTAGGGTTGGCAGACCTGGGTTTCATTCTCCCTATGTGAGTTGACAATTCTGTCACTTGTCCAAGGCTCTGTGTCTTTACCTACAGGGTGATTTTTGCCCTGATCGGGCCTGCTGAGGGCTCATGACAGCCCCTGAATAACTGACAGTGTGCTTCATTTCAGGAGTTTGTGACTCTCAAGGATGTAGCCATGGATTTCACTCTGGAAGACTGGGAAGAGCTGGATCTAGATCTGGATCAGAGAGACCTGTTCTGGGACCTTCTCTTGCTCAGTAAGCATCACCTTGATCCTAGTCACTGCTTTCTGCCCGTCACCCACAGGATCCTGTCATCGGATGCACAGTGCACAGGACAGCACCTTGTGACAGAGGCTCCTCCAGCCCTGAGCACGGACAGTGCTGGGCCTCAGGAACCCACTCTGGTCCCTGCTGGCTTCTTGCATCCCCTCCCTTTCCTGCTTGTGACTGGAGCCTTTCCCTGGGCAGCAGGGTCAGGAGGCCGAGGCTGCCGTCCTCTCTGCCCACACAGCTCAGCCCTCACTCACCCTCCCCAATCACACAGTGTACACGAATATTCCACAACAGAAGTCACTCTGCCTAAGCCCCACCCTGGGCTTGGTGAGTGTGCAGACTCTCCTGGGAGCCCAGCTCTTTAGTCATCTGCTCTTTGCTAGGTATTCTGGAACAGAACTTCACACAAGAGAAGTCTATTGGCAGAAATAGTAAGGCGACTCCACATAGTCAAAAGGGAGGTTTATTTGGGGGTTTTACTTACAACAAGTAAAGGGATAGGTTACAGGGTCCAGGAGAGGTGAAGTGCAGTCCAGCGGTGTTCTCCGGAGAACTCTGCTTGGTCTACATCCAACATCCAGGATTCCCAGGAACCAAGAGGGCTGGCACATCTGGATCTCGGGTCTCAAGGGCTCCTGTCTCGGCCCTGCCTCAGGGGCAGGCCATAGGTAGGCATGACAGTTACCGGAAGCCTCAGTGGGGGTGGTACTTCCAGGTCAAAGCTGCAACACCTACTCACTACAAAAGTCCTCCCAGCTGTGCTCCCCAAGAGCGTCCCAGTTTAGTGATTCCCTAGGAGTGCTCAGAGGTCTCGGCCTGGTCACACTCAATACTTGTAACTCGTTATAGAAGGACACAGCACAGGTTGCCAGAACGCGAGCATGCAGAGCATGTGAAGTCTCATGGGTGCTCTGACTCTCCAGCAATGGGAAGAGTGCTGGCTAGTGTCCTGTCAGCTTGACACAGATGGAGTCACTGGGAGGAGGGAACCCCAGCTGAGAAATGACCCTTCCAAGTTGCCCTTCAGGCAAGACTATGGTGCATTTTCTTAATTAATTATTGGTGGTGTCACTCCTGGAATGGTGATCCTGGGTACTTTAAGAAAGTAGGATGAGGCCATGAGAGCAAGCCAGGCTTCTGCATCAGCGCCTACCTCTAGGTTCCTGCCTTGGCTTCCTGTCCTGACTTCTCTCAGTGATGGAGTGTGATCTGAGAGTTACAAGCTAAAATAAACCCTCTTCTTCTCAAGTTGCTTTTGGTCATAATGTTTTATCTCAGCAGTAGAAACCCTACTAAGTCAGAAAGTGAGAATGTGCTTGTTAATGGGGCCCTTCCTCCCGAGTCTCAGAAGGAAAGCAGGATTTCAGTGTAAAGTACAGGAGCAGTCCCAATTCAGCTGTGCCAGTGTGACTCCCTCAGGGGGCAGCCAAATCCACTTTGTGGGTAGCAGCCTCACGGTCGGAAGGCAGAAGGCATCTACCACAGTGCACATCTGCATGGCCTCCCATCCAGCACCCAGCTCCCCATCACTACCACCTCATCCTCATTTCAACTCCTCTAATTAGTCCATTGCTTTATTTTCCAAGAAACAACAGAGTACTTTATCCCAAAGCATCAAAAGAGTAAAAGACATCATGCAATCGGACCCCTCTTCCTTAGGATTTTGTTGGCTGGGGCAGCTGCTCTCACCTGCTGCCTTGTGTGCAGAGGCACCTCAGGAGGTCTTACATCAATGCCGTTCAGTTCTTAAGCTGTCGCCCACCGTAAGAAGTGCACTGACCTTGACTCCTACTCAGGTCTGAATGACGTTCAGGCCAGAAAGTTCCTGTTAGCGTCTGGATGCCCTCCATATCTTCACTGATGACAGGATTGTTCTTTCTCAGCAGACTCCACCCCCAGACCCAGCCTGAATTCCCAACCAGATGTCAGGGAAGAGCTGGGATGGTCGAAGGAGGCCTGGAAGCCACCGGTTCTGGTGAGGGACAGGAATGCACTCTCCATTATCTGACTGCCTGAGATCCTGCCCGGCCCCGAGCACACACATCTTGATGCCCAACCTCAACCATTCACCCACTGTCTCTTGTCCGTGTTACAGAGGGGACCTCACTCGGGCATGTTGTGTCTCTTCCTTTGCCATCAGAACAGGCATCCCGGTGCCTCTCCGGGGCCTTTCTACTTCAAGCCTCCACGAGGGGATGCTTTCTAGTCCCACGTCAATTTGTGCACCCCCATGCCTTGTGGTCTGGCTTACCTCTTCTACCTTCTTGCTGGCTCAGGCACAGCCACGTCTGGGAGTAAGTCAAGCCCATGGCCTAATGCTGCCAGGCACAGCTGCTTTGTCATTCCCAGTGCAGTTCCTGCACTGTGGGAGGCCTGTGGAACTGTTTGCAGTGGAAGAAAGCGGGAGGGACTATACCCGGCACGGGAGACTTCACGCAGTGTTCTTCCCTCACCGTAAGGAGGACTCAGAGCTGGAGCTCACACCTCTGGCTCCACCCACCCCGACAACCCACAGCCCTGCTCCTTGCTTGCTGCCACTGGGCGGTCCTTAGAGCGAGCTCTCTGCAGCCTCCTGCTTGTGCTGGTGTCCCTTGATGGTGAACAGCCTGGGCGCATGCTCCCAGCTCTGAGTGCTGTTTTTGCTGCTTAACCATGTGGGCTCTTTCCAGGCCTCGAGAGCCAGACACCCCATGCACACGTGTGCACAAGTGCGTGTGCTGGTCTCCAGGGTAACGCGTGCACTGCCCGCACCATCACTTGTGCCTTGCCCTGCTGCAGCGTCGCTGGGACAACAAGAAGTCTTTGGCTGTCTGGCCTTCGGGTCCCCAGGACCCCTTATCATTCACAGTGTGAGAAGACGGGCCTGACACTTGTTGGTTGACACGCTCTTCACGGGGACAGTGTGAGCAAAGATCTGGTGAAGAGGAAACCAGAGAACAGTGCGGGCTGCGGGCACCGAGACGACAGTGCAGGGCAAGAGATGGCTGTGAACGCTGTTGTTTGCAAGGGCCATGCCCAGGCCAAGAGACACTGAGCGGCTCCGAGATGCTCTTTTGTAATGCGAATTGCTAAACGGTCTTACTAATAAAAGCCCAGAGCCAGATATTGGGGTTAAAACTGAGAGGTCAGAGGAATAGGACAAGCCACAGCCACCCTGACCTCACCGACACCTCAGTCTCCAAAAAAGCTACTTCCTGTATACCCAGGTCTATATGCCTTTCTATCCCAGCAATCTAACTTTCTCCGCCCAGCTACATCACTTCCTCTTCCTGCCCAGCTCTGTCACTTTCTATCTGTCATACAGACCTCCAGACCTTTATGGTTAACTAGTGTTGCAATTCAAGGCATGTGCCACCATGCCTGGCTCTGTTCCCAGTGTCGTCTTGAACTCACTGAGATCTGGATGGATCCCTGCCTCCCGAATGCTAGGATTAAAGGTGTGTGCCACCATTGCCTGACTTCTATGTTTACTATAGTGGCTGGCTTTTTCCTCTGATCCTCAGATAAGCTTTGTTAGGGTGCACAATACATTGGGGGACACAATATATCACCACACTCTTTGGATGGGGAGCCTCCAAACCAGAGAAGGTACTGGTTTGGAGGAAGATGATGATGGGACAAGATGTTAGGAGGGGGCAAGAGCAGTGTGGAGAGAGCAGTGGAGGAGGAGTGTAGTGCAGTGGTCAGCTCTCTTTATTACACAGCCTCCCCAGGGCCAATGTGGAAGAGCAGACAGAGACGGGGGCCAACAAATAACCAGATTTGTAGTTGATGATGACAGAGGCAGGAAAAGAAGAGAGATGGGACATTTCCAAGGTGGTCTGAAAGACATTAGTGCCTGAATCAGGGTGAGAGGGTTGGCCCGGGATTCTAGGGTGAAGGACTGGGGGGATGTGGAAGTTTCCCTGCCATCAAGGACCCCCGCCTGATGTCTTGAGTAAGATTTTGAAACTGTATGGTATAGAGGGAGAAGGTGGAAGGAGGCATGTCTGGAAGATGTGTTAGTGAACTCAGTTTCATGGTTATGATGATCATGGCCAAGGCTCTCCTTCTCTGCTGAATCATTACAGGCTCTCAGCTCCTTGGGTGACCATTCTGAGCTTGCCATTCCTTGCTTTCTTCCATTTCCAGATGGGACACCACTGACAGACAGGCTGGACTCCAGACCTTTCTCATGTCTGGTTGTCCCACTGACCCAGGGAACAGAGGCATTTATACACTCTCCTTTCTTTTAGAAGTGACTGAGACCAAGAACTCTACTTTGCAGCAGGGCTTCTTGGAAGAAGGCCTCTCCCGGTTATGGAGACATTTTCTAAGGAGGAATTCACCTTTGAAGTCTGTATCGGTGAGAGCTGGTTAGATAGTTTGCCAGAGATCCAGAAGGTCTTCCAAGATCTGACATTACCAACAAGGAAAACACACAGATGGCAAGAGCAGCCTCAGTGCTGGGCCTCTCTTTTCCACAGGACAGGATACGTGATGATATTCCTGAAAGAACCTCACACCAGTGACACTGAAGGAATCCAGGACTGACTTCAGCTACTACTTAGAACAGAGCCAGAAGGACTGTGTCCAGGGAGAAGAGAAGCTATATAAGTGTGGTGAGTGTGGGAAAAGCTGCAGCCAGAGTTCCCACCTTCCCCTGCACTGGATTGTCCATGTGAGGGAGAGCACCCCTGCATGGCAGGAGCGGGGGGGGGGGGGGTGTCAGCAAGGCTGCTTTCCTTCTCATGCATCCAGGGGCTCAATGAGCTACAAATCATACATGTGTCAGGAACGTGGGGAAAGGTTTAGTCAGACTATGCACCTCCAGTGGCATCAGAAAATCCACACTGGAGGAAGCCTGTGTAGAACTCAAAGTGACAACTGAGGAAAGCCATCCAGAGGCAAAGTGGCGAGCCACAACGCTGCCGCCGAGTAAGGGTGCTGACTCAGCAAAGCTGTGTAAAATTCAAGGTTGGGACCAAGAAAATCCACCGACTAGTAATAGTAGTGACCAAAAAAAGCTGCATAAGTGTCCATCCATTCTTCATCCACAGCCTATTAAGCATCAGAAAACTCCTACAAACACTAAGTCCTACAGATGTAAGAAATGTGGGAAGCACTCAGCCAGGCCTTTCATCGAGCTGGGCACCGGAAAGTCCACACTCAGAAACTCTGTGACTGTACTACATGCCCTGAAGTCTTCCATGTAAGGAAACATTTTGTCCAACATTGAAAAACTCGTTTTGCAAAAACTGTCTTTGAGTATCAAGAATGCAAAAAGATCTTTAATCAGAGGTCACCACACATTGAGCACCGGGCTGTTCATACAGGAGAGAAGCCATACAAGTGTAATGAATGTGGGAAAGCTTTCAGCCACTCCTCCACCCTGAAGATCCACCAGAGGCCCACAGTGGAGAGGAGCCTTACAAATGCAGTGAGTGTGGGGAAACCTTCTGTCGGAGCACACACCTAAATGAGCATCGGCAAATCTGCCTAGGCTACAGACCCTACCAGTGTCCAGAATGTGTCAGGAGTTGTAGCTGTTCCTCACATTTGATTCAGCATCAGCTGAATCACGCCACAGAAAAGCTCCTTGGCTGTGCTAAGTGCAAGAAGACCAGAGACCATCAGCCATAAAGAACAACCAGTGCAGCACCATAAAGTTCACACAATGAGTCCCCATATGAATGTAAGCCATGTGCACCATAAAGTTCACACAATGAGTCCCCGTATGAATGTAAGCCGTGTGCACCATAAAGTTCACACAATGAGTCCCCGTATGAATGTAAGCCTTGTGGAAAACACTTCATTTGCAGCTCAACTCTGAATTGCCACCTGAGTATTCACACCAGAGAAAATACACAGGAGGTGGTTTTGGGTCAGAACTCAAGGCATACTGAGAAGTACTTGAAGTGTAACAAGTGTGGAAAAGCCTTCAGCCACAACAGATCCCTAGGGCAGCACGAGAAGAGTCACACCAAGATGACATCCTGTGAGTGTAACCGACGTGGGAAAACCTATGAACAGAGGATGCACCTCATTTGCCATCAGAGCATCCATGCTGGTCTGAAGACAAATGAATGCATGCATGCATGAAGCCTGAGAAATCCATGCATAACACCTCTGTCACTGAGCATCAGGCTTCGCAAAGTGCACCCCTTTAATTGTAACAAATGCAGCAGAATCTTTAATCAGAGTGACCACCTTTTGAAATCATCAGTTCATTCACACTGGAGAGAAACCCTTTAAATGCGATTTATGTGACAGAGCCTTTAAGCAGAGTAACTACCTTATTCAGCACCAGAGAATTCATACTGTAAAGAAGCACTTTGAGTGTAGTGAATGTGGGAACACATTTAGTCAGAGTTCATGCCTTTCTAAACATCAGCAAATTCACACAGGGGGAAGCCTTTTAAATGTGGTGACTGTGGGAAAGCCTTCATCTTGGGTGCCCAACTCATCCGACACCAGAGAATTCACACTGGGGAAAAGCCGGATGTTTGTCAGGAATGTGGGAAAGCCTTCAGCCAGAGCTTCTGCCTTTTTCTTCACCGTGGAGTTCACAGGGGTGAGAAGCCATACACATGTAGCAAATGTGGGAAAGCCTTTTCCCAAAAAGCAAATCAAAAGAAGCAAGAGAGGATTCACGGTAGAGGAAAACCTTATACCTGTGATGTGTGTGGCAAAGCACTCATCTCAGTCAACACCAGAGAACTCACCCCCAGAAGAAGCCACATTGTCAGGATTGTCACCAAGCTTTTCACAGCTGCTCTGCTCTTAACAAACATCAGCAACTTCAACCTTGTAAAGTAAGAGGTAGCACTGTCCAGAGCCTCTTGGTGACAGCAGAGTCCCATCATTTGAAGGCATTCACATGAAGTCAGCCATTGAAACCAACACATTGCAAACCTCCCCTCCCAGTAAGTCCTGTAAAAATTGATGAGACAGCCAGGCAATGGTGGTGCACGCCTTTAATCAATCCCAGCACTTGGGAGGCAGGCCAGGCTTTGTGAGTTCGAGGCCAGCCTGGTCTACAGAGTGAGATCCAGGACAGGCACCAAAACTACACAGAGAAACCCTGTCTTGAAAAACAAACAAAAAAATTTATGAGAAAGAATGTACAGATTGATCTCATTTAGATCAGTGGTTTTTCCACCTTCTAAAGCTGCAACCCTTTAGTATAGTTCCTCATGTAGACATCTGTGTTTTCTGATGGTCTTAGGCAGCCCCTGTGAAAGGGTCATTCACCCTCAAAGGGGTCACAACCCACAGGTTGAGAATCACTGATTTAGGCAAAAGAGAAAAATTAAGAAGCTGTGAGGCAGGTAAGGCCCAAAGCACTGGGCCATGCCTTAGGCAAATGAAGAGCTCTGACATGTGCAATAGTATCCTGACCCAGAGGAGCCTGAAACCAGACCCCCAAGATGACAACTGCAGATGTAAGACCCAGAGCCAACCAGGAAACACCACGGCAGCCGGAAGCAGAGCCCACCAAAAAGTACACACATAAATACCTCAGTCCTTTGTTTAATAAACAAGATTGCTTGCAAACCTCCCAGAGCCTGTGTCCTTGGTTCTGCGTCTGCCCACCCACTGCCCCAGCATCAGAGACAGTGGGATCCCAGCTGCAGAAACAGCAACAAAGCTGTGTAATTGCCAGGCAGTGGTGGTGCACGCCTTTATTATAGCACTCAGGAGGCAGAGGCAGGGGGATCACTGAGTTTGAGGCTAGGCTGGTCTACCAGTTTCAGGGGCTGGAAACCCTCTTCTACCTCCATAAGTACCACCCCCATAAATAAAAATGATTTTTAAAAATAAACCTAACCCAAACTGAGGTAGTGCTGCAAGAGCAGAGCGCTGACAGAAGCGCCTGAAGGTGGACCTTCCACTGTATTAGCCAATCACCCCTTTTCTGAAAGACGCATAATGCTCTTGGTTGACAGGAAATCTCTGATAAACTATTGGAAAACGAACAGCATGAGTGATGTGAGGCCTTGAAGAGGTGGGAAGCCTCATGAATTTCCATTCATCCTTGGGAGGAGGTGCAGTAGGGGGAGATCCCACAGAGCATTGTGTCTGGCTGGAATTCTAGTGTTAGCACCTAGGCTTTGAACTGCCTTTTGTGATACTACCTTTTGTTACTGTTACCTTTTGTTTGAAGTGTTTGATTCTTATCTGAGTTCTTCCTAAAGGGTTCAAAGCTTTTGCAAGACTTGGTTATGAGAGGACTTGACACACCAGAGGTCTCATAACTGGGAATTGCTTAGTATGTGGAAATTGATTTGCTAAGAGGTGTAAATTGTGTAACAATAAAAAGGTCTACAAAGTGAGTTCCAGGACAGCCAGAAATACACAAAGAGGCTGGGTGGTGGCGGCGCATGCTTTTAATCCCAGCACTGGGGAGGCAGAGCCAGGCAGATCTTTGTGAGTTCGAGGCCAGCCTGGTCTACAGAGTGAGTTCTAGGAAAGGCGCAAAGCTATACAGAGAAACCCTGTCTCGAAACAAAAATAAAACAAACAAAAAAGAAAGAAAGAAATACACAAAGAAACCCTGTCTCAAAAAATAGCAACAAAAAGCTATGTAATGTATTTCGTCAGTCTAAGTGGTGACTATCTACCATCATATTTGGTGGCAGTTGTAGAGAGTAAGCCATGGCGTATGGAGTGAAATTGTCACAAGATCAAGCCAATCAATAACCAATGTGGAAAAGGGAGGGCTGCATGATCTCCCACCCCTTTCTGGTGAGCTACTGGCATTGG